ACAGGCGTGCGCCTCCATGCCCAGGTAATTTTTGCATTTTTATGGAGAGAGGCTCTCACCATGTTGGCCAGTCTGGTCTCGAACTCCTGACCTCAGGTGATCCACCCACTTCAGCATCCTAAAGTGCTGGGATTACAGGCATGAGCCACTGTGCCCGGCCATGTTCTTTGCTCAAAACATATGAGATATGGCCCAGCTTTATAGTTATTGTCATGCTACCTTACATGCATGTAAATCTCTTAAGGCTAACTCAATACTAGTGTTCTCTGTCTCTTCTATTGGGTACACAGGGGTCTTTTTGTTGTCAGGATTGTTTTATTTCCCCCACAGTGGATATATTCTTCCCCTTTCTTTCTTCCTAAGTGGATTATTCTGAGAAGCAGTCAAAAATAGGGCTACCTAGAAGATGGTTCCATGTGATCAAGCAAACTGTTGTGTTCATGGTAGGTTCAGTTCATAGAACCCAGTGTTGTTACAGGTAGTGGGGAATTCTCTTTAGGAAAAAGAATAAAACTTTTGAGTACAAGATTATAGACCTGTTTAAAGGGATCCTAAAAGCTAAGCTTCCTTAGCTGCATGGTAAATTCGCCTCTGACCCTGACCCAATTTGGGCCAATGAGGTAGCACAGCATGGAATTGCCTCTTACTCCTTCCTTTTTCACTTCCCTCTCTTTTAACTCCCACTCTCTTTAAAACAAACAAACAAACAAAAACTCACTTTTGAATTAAAAGGTTTCACATAAGTTTTCACTTTAGCTAATACTTCCTGGGGAAGCCAGGTGAAGAAAAATATGTCTCTCTGCTTAACTTACATGCTTTGACCTTTTTCCTTTGCTGTCTGAATCCTCAATAATTCAATCTGTACTGAAAAGATTATGAGGGTGCCTACAAAAATAGAATGATTCAGTCCACTATTGACTTTTGAATGGCCCCGAATGAGACATGATGCCAGTATTTAATAAGTCTGCCTGAGCGGGGCAGAAAAAATACATAGAAAGGCCTTTTTAAGTATCAAGCAAGTATGAATATTTATAAGCCAATTTGGCATATCAGTCTTATCAATCCCCCAATTTTTGGTTAGCCAATAACTCTCATGATCACAGGTATTAAAAAATTATAAATAATGGATTAGCATACTGAATCCAGAAATGTAAGTTTTTAAAAATACATCATGATCTTGTGGGATTTATTCCACAAACTCAATATTGGTTTAGCATTTGAAAATCAGTTAATATTATTCACATTAACATTAAAAAGGAATAAAACTATATGATAATATCAGTAGATGCAGAAAATCGTTTAAAATTTAACTTATTATTATTAAAACAAAACATATCTTAACAAATTAGAAAAAGTGGATTCCCTTATTTATTTAAAACTATATCTATAAGAGACATACAGTTAATATTCCACTTTGAAGGAAATAAAAAATGTTTAACCCCAAAATACATTTATTTGACATATTTTCAGATGGCTGTCAGAGAACCAGCATAAGAAACAGCCCTGCAATGCTGTGGTTTGTGGGAAAAATTTACATCTGTGGACAATCTGCACTGATACATAAAGGCCTTCTCTTGTCCACATCTAGGAAGAATTAACAGAGAGTCTGGAACCTTTAAAGGTTTTCTCCCACCTTTAACTTGTTTTGCCATGATCTACTTTTTTCTGTAAACTCAGGATGGTATATAAGCTCCTGCACCTCACTGAGGGGCTGGGCAATCACACATTTTGTATGTGTTTTCTCCTATTAATCTGCCTCTGTGAGTTGATTTTTAGAGCAAACTTTCAGAGTGCTAAGAGAAAGATTTCCCTGGGCCCCTGAAAATTGGGTGCTGTGAGCAGGAACAGAAAGTTTGGCTCTTTTGGAAGCCCACGGTTGAGGGAAAGCAGGAGCTGATCAGCTAGCATAAGGATAAGAATTTCTTACCAGCCAGATTCCAGGCTCCACTCTGTGGAATCTGGTCACTCTCTGTTTATTTTTCCTGTCCAAAATCTTGACTGATGGGAGAAAAGGATTTGTGTGACTAGTGCCGGTGTATCGACTCTGTTGTACTTTCTGGTACTTTGTGGTAAGAATCATGTTGTTTCATCCTCTTTCCTCCCAGAATAGTCTTTTCTTTGTCTTTATCTTTCTGTGTTGCTCTGTCATAAAGAGGAGTAAGGAGTATAGCAGTGCAGATGAGGGCTTTCTCTCATCTTGTTTTGTTTTTTTAAAATTTAATTTAATTTCTTTTTTTTTTAATACAGAGTCTTGCACTGTTGTCCAGGGTGGAGTGCAGGGGCATAATCCGGGCTCACTGCAACCTCTGCCTCTTGGGTTGAAGCAATTCTCATGCCTCAACCTTTGTGTAGCTGGGATTATAGGCATGCACCACCACATCCAGCTAATTTTTATATTTTTAGTAGATACTGGGTTTCACCATGTTGGGCAGGCCTCAAACTCCTGGCTTCAAGTGATCTGCCCACTTCGGCCTCCCACCATCCTGGGATTACAGGTGTGAGCCACCAGTTCCCAGTCCTATTTTGTTTTTGTTTTAGAGACAGGGTCTTACGCTGTCACCCAGGCTGAAATGCAGTGGCATGATTATAGTTCCCTGTAACTTCAAACTTCTGGACTCAAGCCATCCTCCTGCTTTAGCCTCCCTAGTAACCAGGACTACTTTTTAAAAAATACTTTTGTAGAGATGGGACTCCCTATGTGCTCAGCCTTCTCAAGAACTCCTGGCCTCCCAAAGCACTAGGATTACAGGTGTGAGCCACCATGCCAGGCCCGAAATAATCAATATGCCAGAGGTATATTGTTATGCTGGTATATTGGGGTGGTGTATTCTGGTGTCCAACAGTCATATTTTGATAGAGTGTATCCAGAATAATCAACTCAGAACGTAGGTTGGTATCTTGAACGGGAGTGTTAGGGAGAAGGGACACAGTAAAATCACACACGCGCACGCACACACACACACACACACCATGAGAAGATGAGTCTTAAATTTGCACCAAGAGTTGATTTCTTAACACTGAATGCTAAAATTACATTTATCTATTCAGTCACAGGCAGAGCTATACACACTCCAATTTCCCTAAGTGAGGCTGTGCAACTACAAAATGGAGAGAACTGAGAAGCAAGCCCAGCACAAAGCATGTGCTCACCACAGTTTTCAGTTGAGAATGAAACAAGGTAAAGCACAAAATACAGCTGGCATGGTGTCTGTCACAAATAATGATTTTTATGCCACAAACCACACAATATGTAACAAAAGGGGAGGCAAGAAGCTGAAATTGTTTATGAGAAATTGCACCTTACAGATACTGGAGGAGTGGGGAAGATGATTTTCCCACTTACCCAACCATTTCAATGTATTGAGCTACACCGCAAAAAAAAAAAAAAAAAAAAAAATACAATAATAAAAAAAATATGTTTCAAAAAATTACAACTCAGCTTGGCATGGTGGCTCATGGCTGTAATCCTGGCATTTTGGGAGGCCGAGGCGGGTGGATCACATGAGACCAGGAGTTCGAGGCTAGCCTGGCCAACATGGTGAAACCCCGTCTCTTCTAAAAATACAAAAATTACCTGGGTGTTATGGCAGGAGCCAATGGTCCCAGCTACTTGGGAGGCTGAGGCACAAGAATGGCTTGAACCTGGGAGGCAGAGGTTACAGTCAACCAAGATCATGCCACTGCATTCCAGCCTTGGCGACAGAGCAAGATTCTGTCTCAAAAATAAATAAGTGAACAAAATAAAAATAATTAAAAAAAAATCACAACTCTAATCTCTATGCCATTTTCAAGACATAAACTAAAAAATGGCACTAAAGATTGAAAACAAAGGAGTGGATACCTGAATTTAATCAATTCTAAGGTAAATGTTTTTATCATTTAGTATCTCTGAAACATGTATATATTTTTAAATGGGTGGCCTCTTACCATTGGGACACAGTACAATTTGCAGCATTCTCCTCTGTTAATGGTATATGTAATAATGTCTCAGGTGACCCCTTCTTGCAGGGCTTGTAATCCCAGCTATGTCATTTTATTTTATTTTATTTTATTTTATTTTATTTTTTTGAGACAACATCTCCCTCTGTCACCCAGTCTGAACTGCAGTGGTGCAGTCACAAATCACTATTCACTGCAGCCTGAATCTCCAGGGCTCAAGAGATCCTCCCACTTCAGCTTCCCTAGTAGCTGGGACTACAGGCACTCAAGACCAAATCTGACTAATTTTTCAATTTTTTTTCTTTTCTTTTTTTCTTTCTTTTTTTTTTTTTTTGTAGAGGCAAGGGTCTTACTTTGTGCTTAGGGTGGTCTTGAGCTTCTGGACTAAAGAGATCCTCCTGACTCAGCCTCCCAGAGTGCTGGGACTACTGGAGGGAGCTACTGCTCTGAGTCAGCTTTTCTGCTAAAATGCTCTGCTGAGGTGGAAATGAGGAGGGTGAAGCAGTGGGTGGGCATTTGTTTTAAAAAGGCTCTACCTAGGCTGTTCCTTTTGGTGAAGTGCTTGTAACTTTTAAGGTGGAAACGATGCCATTTTTCCTTTATTCTCCCGTCTGTAAGACCAGAAGGCAATTGGAGGATCCTGGAATACAGGGAGAAACCAGGTAGCAGAAGTAGTAGTATGGTGGGAGGGGAAGATCAAAGCAAACACCGTGGGAGTGGGTGAGAATTGCGACCCCAAATTGGGTCTCCTAACTTGTCAAGGCCCTTCTCTGGGCTCCTCTGCACCTGTCCTCTGCCCAGGTTCATCCAGAAAAGGATGGAATCGGTTGCATGGTGTCTTCAGGATGTGATTGGTAGATGATGTGTTTGCGTGGGAACGCTCTTGGTAGGGTCTGTAAATCTCTTGCGGGGGGATTACATCCGGATGTGTAGTGTTTTTTTGGGAAATGTGAAAGCTTATGGGAAAAATACGTTTTTCTTCCAAGCGGTGGCAGTTCCTTATTTCCTGTGAGGAAGGAGTTTATAGCCCCACTCTTGACTGAAAAGTGTGAGAGAATTCAAGCTCTTGAAAATTCAGCTGTTTGCATATCCGGAAAGACAGAGAAAGCCTCAGTGATCCATTTCACAAAACAAGGGTATAGGAAAGTGGATGGCAATTTGAGATGTTTATTGAGTTTAGAGAGGGAACAGACGTCTGCCATCAATCCCACCTCCTGTGATGGAGTTTTGCAGTTCATTTTTCTCTCCAGCCCTCTTCCAACTCCTATGCCCAATATTAAAGACATCTGACAGAGTTAACCATCAGAATCAACGAGCGGTTCCCACAGAGTTCCCTCCTGCAGGAGAGGTACCGGGACAGGCGAGGGAGACCTGAAGCTGCGGTCAGAAAACGCTGTGCCTTTTACGCTCCTAGGGAGCCTTAGACCGAGAGTTTCAAGTGTCGAAGGCAAGCAGTTGTCGGCCCCTCCTGTAGGATCCTGTGGGTTCTGGACCCGGAAGAGAGCCTAGGAGCGAGGGGTGACCTGGAAGAGCCCAGTCACGGAGGCTGGATGGCTGTTTGCTGCATAGGAAGCTGTTGGCGACCAGAATGGTTTTTACTTTGTTCCTGGGACCAACAGGATCTGCGTGGTTCTCGGGGCATAAGTCGACTACTCTGCCACTGCCCAATGCAATGGGTGGAATGCAAGAACAGTACAGACTTCCTGCCGGCCTCGGTGGCCAACGCCTGTGATCCCAGCACTTTGGGAGTCCCAGGCGAGCGAATCACTTTAGCTCAGGAGTTCAAGACCAGCCTGGGCAACATAGCGAGACCCCGGTCTCTAATACACACACACACACACACACACACACACACACACACACACACACACACAGACGAATTAGACGGGGGTGGAACACTCACCTGTGGTCTCGGCTGCTCTAGAGGCTGAGGCGGGAGCATCGCTGGATCCCAGGAAGTCGAGGCTGCACTGAGCCAAGATGACACCACTGCACCAGCGTAGGCCAGAGAGGAAAAAAGAAAAGGACAATAGACTTCCCTAAGCCTGTGGGGGACAGAGTGGGTAGAACCGGTAGCACTTTGGTGGCACCGAGCGCGCGGTTGGTCGGTGGCTGCACCGTTCCTTTCCCAGCGCCAGCGCTTTCTCACTGCCAACGCCACTCCTTTGTCAGCGTTATCGGATGCTCTCTGACTGCAACCTTGCTTCCGCCAAAAGTTGTCTTTTGCAACTGCACAGGCATTTGCTACGGGCAGGTGATCGCTGGGTCCCAGCGCCGCTGGTTTCACAACTTTGCGAGTGCTCCACCCCACCATCACCCGCCAGCAGCATAATCCGTGAACCAAGCCCGCGGTTTCTCCGCCGCGCCATCGCCCATTGCGTCCTGCGAAGCCAGTGGACTCGGTGGTCGCAAGATTGGTTTCACCAAGTCGGGCGTTTCTTGGCACGGGCACCGCTCTGCGCTTTGTGCTGGCCCAGGCCGGTCTCAGCACCGTTAGGTGCCCTCTAAAGGCGACTCTCTGTCGTGGGTAGGAAAGCTGTTATGAGACGACAGTTTTTCAGAAGTTACTAGTCGAGTCCAGCTGACAGTGGTTTCTGAATCACAGAACCGCTGGTTGCGCGGAGCTGGATGGTATTCTGTGGCCGCGAATGTTTCTCTGTCGAATCCCCAAGGCTGTCGTCGAACGCGGTGTTTCTCTGGCCCCACAGCCACGCGAGTAACTTCATCAGGGACTGCGGGGTTCCCTCCACTGAGTTGCTCGTTTTGATCGGCGCTTTGTGACAGAGACCAGAGCAGACACTTTTCTGTTTGTGTCCACCGCTAGCTGTGCCGTGCACAGTTTCCTTGTCTCGGTGCGGAGCTCTCTCCATCCGAGGCCCTCTGGTGCCGGCGGCGTCGCGGTGGCAGCACACGGCGTTTCCGTTGACTCTTTCGCCGCCGGCGCGGAGCCGGCGGTTTTGCTGTCACAGCACTTGCTGCACGGAGTTTCTCGGTGGCCGAACTTCTCTTTTTTTCTCAGAGTCGACGGTTCCTTGGTGACAGCACCGTTGGTTGCGCCAAAACGAATGTTGTTCTTGACAACGTCGCTGGCTGCATTCCCTCCCAGGCTCCTGGCACCGCCGTTTCGCCGAGCGGTGGTCTCTTGTTCGCAGCTCTGTGCCTCGGTTTCTCGGTGGCGGCAGCCCTCAGGCCACGGATCTGAGAGATTCAAAGTGGCCGGTGCCCCAGTTGCGCTGAGTCTGGCGTTGCCGTACGGACGGGGACGGGTGCTGCAGGGCTGGGCGGGCGGAGCCCGACGCTCCTCGGAGCCGGTGACAGGGGAGCTGCACGGGCACAGTCTCTTCCCAGGGCCGCGGCACGGGTTCCGGCTGGGCCTGCAGAACGCAGTCCTGGGGCGGCGCCGCCGCGCGTCTCTGTCGCAGGACCCCGCGGTTTCGCGCGTCCTTGGCTTCTGGGTCCTAGCAAGTTTCCATTTCGCGGTGCCTAGGATTTCTACCCCCTGTCCAAGTAGGGGAATGGCAAAACGGTGACTTCCTACGGCCCTACGGCCCAGATATCGCAGCCAGGGCTAGACCGGTGTTTGTCTTAAGTCAGGACTTGCTTGGGCTGCGATATCTGGGCCGTAGGGCCGTAGGAAGTCACCGTTTTGCCATACGAAGGCGAAGTTACTCTGTGACTCATTTGTCAGCAGCTCCGAGTCTCCGGTAGCCTCGGATTTCTAATCGTAACAGCCGTGGGGTCAACCCAGCCTCAAGTTTCTTAGTCCTAGCAAGTTCCGGTTTCCTGCTAGTGAGCCTTGCTTTAGCTGCGCAGGAGATGTTTTAACTCCTGTGGAAATCTGGGTACCAGCGAATGCGTTGTTTGTTTCGTTTTGTTTCGTTTTGTAAAGGTTTAGTGATGGTCAGTTTAGCGGTGTTGGGAGCTCTTATGCCAAGTTTGGTTTCGCAATAGCGAGTCCCGTCTTAGCTAGGCTAGTGTGTCTTCAAAACTCCCAGGGAAGTCAGGAATGCCGGCGAACGCGATTTCTCGGTTTTACCGAGCTCCCTTTGACAATGGCAAGTCCCGCCCATCGCGACATTTTCCTCCTGTGGACCAAATCGGCATATACCAGTTACTACGATTTTTTAGTCGCACCTAAACACGTTTAACCGTGGCTATTTTTGTTTGTCGTAGGAAATTATGACAGGAGCAACCTGCAGGGCTTTAGATCTGACAGAAACATTCTAATGGTAGGCATTGCATCGTTTAGCCATATTTGTAATTTCTTCTTTGTACGGTTGGCTCTCTGTAAGTTTCGCTAACAACTACACATTATTTTTGTGTATTTTGCTCTGAGGACAGTGTTACCGATGTGTTTTCCGTTTTTACTTGCATTTCAGACTTTCATTATTTTAATTTTTTATTTTTATTTAAATGTTACGTATTTTTTTTTTTTTTCTCTACTAATTTTGAGCGTCTCAGCTTCGTGCTTCTTGACTTTCATTCTCTCAGGAGCCGGGGAGCCGAGCTCGGTCTTAGCCTCGCTGGTGTTAGGCTCCGGGTTCTGTCTGGTGGCTCCGCTTCCCATGCGGAGCTGGCGGTTTTGTATCAGCACGTTTGCTAGCAGCGCCCACTGGGCGTTTTCTCAGTTGCTGCTCCCAACGTGACGTTTCCCGTTCGCGGGGTCCTTGCGTTCTCAGTGCTGTCACTTTGTCGGTCCTAGAACCGCTAGTATCTCCCAGGAACTTCCTGAAGCCCGTTTTGCGATGCAGAACGGTGATTGCACCCAGCCGCCGTTGGCACTAGCAACTCCGTGGTACCATTAGCCGGCGCTTTTTCTGTCACAACCCATTAGAACATATTAAATAGAACATATTAAACCTGTCAAACACACTGAGCGGATTAAAACACATTAAAATGCCACAACACATTTTCCTGGCACGACACATTTAAACAGAGTTGATTCATTTCCTCCAAACAGGTTGTTTAGGCGTGGAAGCACCGCTCTTTTCTAAGAGCACGCTCTTTCTCTTCAGCAGCCCCACTTACGGCGCCGAAACGAATATTTGTTTGGCAATACCAGCGCTAGCCGCTAGGTGCTGGCGCTTGCTAAGTTCGAGGCGCCAGTTTCTGGTTAGCAAGACGGTTATTAGCGCAGAGCCCCCAGCGGACAGTTTTCCGGTGGCAGCAACGCTCATTTCCCGAAAACGGGTGGTTCTTGGCCCTTGCAGCGCTCTTTAACACCTGCGTTCTGTAGTGCTAGTTCTCTGCAAGGTTTGCTTAGCGTTGTTTCGTTTCGGTTTCTTTTCTCGCTATGTTTTTCTGTCGGAATCACGGTTCGTTTTGGTTCTATGTACTCTCTAAAATTTTGTCGTTTTTCATTTGTCTACGAATCTTCGTGCATTTGCTACTAATGAGTTTCTTGATATCTGACTGGCCTCCGCCCACGGGCTCTGGAGAGCATAAATACCCAGGCTGAGGGTAGTGCAGAAGTCTCTCCCTCCTTGATCAGCGCAGCCGTTTGTTTCCTCCTGGTCTGAGGCTTAAGCGATGGAGCGACATTTTCTTGGCTGTGTGGAGCGGGCTTGGGATTCCGCCGAGGTGGCGCCAGAGCCCGGGTTTCCGCCTATTGTGAGTTCAGAAGATCGTGGGCCGTGGCCTCTCCCTTTGTATCCAGTACTAGGAGAGTACTCACTGGACAGCTGTGATTTGGGACTGCTTTCCAGTCCTTGCTGGCGGCTACCGGGAGTCTACTGGCAAAACGGACTCTTTCCTGGAGTCCAGAGCACCTCGGGACCAAGTACGGCGAGGTCCCCTGAGTTCGGTTGGCCGGGGACACAGAAGCAGCAAGAGGCATCCGTGGAAGAGGTGGGGCAGGGAGAGGAACCCGACAGACTCACGCTCCAGCAGCTTTCCTGGTGCAGTCCTCCCCATTCCTGGAACAGACAGCAGGACACCGACGTCTCTGACAGCGGGTGCCTTTTGGAACGCCGCCATCCTCCTGCCCTCCATCTGTGGCGCCACCCCCCGGGGGGTTTCTCAGACTGCCTGGAGCGGATTCTTCGCGTTGGTTTTGCCGCGTTCTCTGTACTCTGGGCGTGCTGCCTACGAATCTGTGGAGCTAAGCAGCCTTAGATACCAGCAGGAGGCTTTTTGGATTCTCCTCCTTGAAAAGATGCTCAGTTACCAAGCGTCTCCACCTAGAAAATAAAAATACATTAAGATGGGCCTTCATTGCTGGTTGTCAGTTTTTGAATTCTCTTTTTTTCCTGATGTTTCTTTCTTGTTTCGTGTCGCTTATTACTTTCAGTTTCCTTGTCTTTTAAACATTTATATTTATTTTATTAAATATTTTACTTATATCTGTTTTAACTTTGAGAAATCTATTTTATGAGTATAGTATTCTTACTGTTTGGCAAATTTATAGTTTGTGTTTTCCATTGTGTTTTTAAATCTTATTCGTAGTGTTTTTCTAATTATTCCTCTTTAAATATATTGTTTGTTTACATTTAATTTTATTTCACGTCTTTTACGTTATTATAATGTCTTCTTAATTTTAATTTTTAATTTTATGTTTAACAACTCTTTCTGTTTTTCAGTTTATCAATTCATTTTGTTTTACACTCAGAGATTTTATTCACGTTTAAGAGTAGTAGTTTGATCAATCGTTGCTATTTCTCGTGGAAGTACCACTCAATTACTTATATTTATATAACTTCACAGATGACCAGTTCTTAATGTTACTTATTCTGGTGTGACAGCGTGGCTCACAGCAGTAATCCCAGCACTTTTAGCGTTGGAGGCATGCGGATTGCTTGTGCTCAGATGTTTGAGAACAGCCTGGGCAAGAGGGTGAAGCCTGTCTCTACCAAAAATACAAAAATTAGCCGGGGGAGGTGGTGTGCACCTGTAGTCCCAGCTACTCCAGAGGGTGGAGTGGGGTGGTCGGTTGAGCTCAGGAGGTCGAGGCTGCAGTGAGCTTGTGCGATAGCACCAATGCCCTCCAGCAGAGTGAGACCCTGTCTCAAAATAAATAAATAATTGAGAAGATTACTTATTCATGGGTCTCACGGCTAGCGGTGTTTCCTGTGTCTTTTTCTTTGGAACAGTTTAGAGTGGCTTACAAGAGAACTACCAATTACTTAATAGTACCACAACTGGGTTTAGCAATTCCGGTAGGCACAGCAGGTCCGGCTTGGCCCTCCTGCTTTGACTGCCTTTTCGGGAGTTTTAAACCTCCTACACTCGGAATATAGCCTTGACTGTGGTTTCTCTGGATAGCAAGTTCGAATTTAAGCAGAATAAGTAACGGCTTATTTCACCTGCGATAAAGATGCTTAATTCTGCTTTTGAAATATTCTGAGCGAGTCCTGGGTTAGGGATTTCTTAGAGTGACAAGTACATGCTTCGATTGCAAGTGCCCCTGTGAATGTGATTGTTTAGCTCTTGCAAGTCCATATTTAGTCGCAACCAGTACTAGCATAGCGATACCTGCGACTCCTTATTCCCAGTAACTTTCAGTTTCATAATAACTTATCGTGCTTTACTGATGCCTGAGTTTTAAATATAGAAGTCCGGGCATGTCGGTAAAGAAAATATTTTAGGAGTAGAAAGTAGCGGTTTAGCGGTGCCTGCAGTCCCTTAGAAATCCTGGTGAGACCAAGCAGATATTGATATAGGCCTGACAGCGATATCACAGCTGTGAAACCACATTGTTTAGAGGTGTTTGCATTTTCTTCTTTGTAGAGTCAATTTTTCTATGTTTTGCATTTTCATTTGATGAATTTTCCCAAATACATTGTTTTTATTCGGGGTGTGTGTGTGTGTTTCAGCTAACTTGCCCTTTAAAAAGAATTGTTACTAATTTTTGGTTTGTCAACCCTCAGCTTTATGCTGCAGGTTAGCGCTGGCCTATAATCCCCGGAACTAAATACTCTACTCTTTTCGCCTAACTGGCCTTTCCTCGATGGCATTACTGCTAATTTTGCTGCTCTAGGTGTTCCTCGGAGATAGCACTGCCGGTTGTTTCTGTGAGGCTTGCTAGAGCCCAGGACGCTGAGGTGCTGGGTGACCCCATTTCGGTGCAACCACTCCGAAGGTTCTCGGTTTATCCGGCTGTGTTTTGGAACAAATGCCCGTTCTTCCTGGGAGCCGAGTGTCTCTCAGTCGCGCTCCCGGCTGTTTTCTTCAAAAGCGGCCGTTTCTCTTAGTAGCACCGCTTTTTGGGGACGTCGGATTCTTTTCCGTGGCAGTACTGGTCTTTGCATGGAGTGACCGGTTTCTCACTCGCACTGTGTCGACTGACAGTTATTCCGTGGGGGCGCAGCTCTCAGCCACTTCCCGTGGCTCTCGGTGTCGGCTGTCCTGTACCAGCGTTTCTGGCGGTATTTCTGTTACAAACAATCGAGTCCCTGTTTTTTCGATGACGACGCCATTCATCTCTCTAAGACCGGCTATGTCCGGAATCGGCGATTTCTCTTGGTCACAGAGTCCTTGGTTTCGCAGAGACTGTTGTTTCCACGGTCCTGGACTGCTGTTTGCTTGGTGTTAGCAATGTTGCACCCAATACAGTCAGGTGCTCCCTGTTGGAGTTTTGAGACAGCATTTTGAGATAGGTGCCTCAGCACTCCAGACCTGGCACCTGAAGAAAGCATTATCATTTCAAGCTCAGTAGGGGCAATAGAATGAGTGGTGTTAGAGAAAGCAAGCAAATGCTTGAAGAAAAGGCCACTCCACAGTACTTTTTGGCTTTTTTCTTTTTTCACTTTTTTTTGAGACGAGGTCTGGCTGTGTCACCCAGGCTGGAGTACAGTGGCACAAGCTTAGCTCACTGCAGCCTCAACCATCATGGGTCATGCAATTCTCCCTTCTCAGTCTCACAAGTACCTGGGACTACAGGTACATGCCACCATGCCTGGCTACTGTTTGTGTGTGTGTGTGTGTGTGTGTGTGCGCGCGCGCGCGCGCGCACGCGTGTGTGTGTGTAGACAGGTTATCTTTCTATTACCCAAGATAGTTTTGAACTCCTGGCCTCAAGTAATCCTCCTGCCTCGGCCTCCCAACGTGCTTCGATTGCAGATGTGAGTCACCACAGCCAGC